AACAACAACAGTATTAATTAATCCACACGCTTGCACCTAAGCATCTCCTAGCTAATACAGAGGCAAGTGGAAAAGGGAAGAGAGTAGAGGCTTTTCTGACCATGACGGGATGACATTAAGAGCTGATAATTATAGCATTTCTGACACTGGAGTCATTTGTTGTCTTAATGTCATAAAAGCACAATAAAATCACCTATATATATGAAATGGAAAAAATTATTCATCTGCAATTACAGATAATAGTTTGCAATAATGCATATGGAAATGAGGGAGGGCAAATGTGTGAATGATGACTCTGTAAAACATCACTCCCATAGCTGAGAGTATATAAGTGTCCCAGTCTCTAGAAGGTGACATTAGAATTCAGTCTTCTCACTGTAACTCAGTTGAACTCATATAATCTATCAACATGTCCTACAACTGCTGCTCTAGAAACTTCTCTTCCTGCTCACTTGGTGGTTTCCTGAGCTACCAAGTCCCTTCCTGTGGCTCTTCCTTTCCAAGGAACCTGGTTTACAGCACTAACTTCTGCTCTCCCAGCACTTGTCAGCTGGGATCCTCTCACTACAGGCGCTGTCAGGCAACCTGCCATGAGCCCAGCTGCTGCCAGAAGTCCCAGATGGTGTCCATCCCCTGCCAGACATCCTGGTACTGCCCAAGGACATCCAGGCTCTGCAGTCCATGCCTGACAACTTACACTGGATCTCTGGGCTTTGGTTCCAGAAGCAGTTGTTCTCTAGGCTGTGGATCCAGAAGATGCTACTCACTCAGTTGTAGACCTAGTACCTTCAGGCCCCTGAGTTATGGCATCTGTGGCTTTCCTTCCTTGGGGTATGGCTCTGGATTCTGCCACCCAACTTATTTTCCTTCCAGGAGCTGTCACTTTTCTTGTTACAGACCAACTTGTAGATCTGCTTTTTATGCATCAACTTGTTGAGTCCCCAGATCTTTTGTGTGATATGTTCTACTCCCTAATTAATCCTTCTATCATCTTCATTATTTTCAGTATGAACTGTCCTTATATTCTCTGATCACCTTCTCTTAACTATTTATCCAGCTGCATGTACTGATCATAAAATTGCTTCTAACCTGTGCTAAATTTAATGAGTTAATCCACGGGATTAATTAAGAGAATTGCCTCATTAATTGAATGAGGTAGAAGATATTTTAATGGATTTCATATTCATATTAATATGACATTGAAAAAATGTATTAATGTTAGTCAATTAATGGATGAATAAATAGAATTACTGTCAATATGTTTTATTCACAAGAGACAAACAAAAGGATATCATAAAATAAATTCCTTCATTCTGGGAACAAACTGTAGTATTGTGATATCATTATTTTTTTGTTTGTTGTTAGTTATTTATTTATTTTTGATAACATTTTGTTTTGGAGGCTGTCATTGTTCAGTGGTAGAATTCTCACCATCCATGCAGGAGATGTGAGATTGATCCATGGACACTATAACCCTTGTGCAGCCATCACTCATCTTTTAGTGGAGGCTTATGTGTTGTTGTGTTGCTGAATCGGTTTCAGAGGAGTGGCCACATTAAGACAAATTGAGAAGAAAGGCCTGGTGATCTGTTTCCAAAAATCAGTCAGTGGAAACCCTATGGATCACAATAGTCTTATTCTCAAGTGATTATGAGAGTGAGGCAGGGCTGGGCAGTGTTTTATTCTTTTGTGCACTAGGTCCCCATGATTTGGCTCAGGCAATGGAAATTAACTACAAGAAAAACAAAGCTAAATGTCACTATTGTTCTGGAATCAATTTTGAGAAACTAAGAAAGGGTGGTTTTCAACCAAATTATCTCAGGCTTTACACATTTTCTTTCTTTAAAATTGGAATTTTTACAGCGAAAACTTAACCATAGGGAGGAAATGGAAAGAGAGATGATATATTATGGGGATTACAATTACTGCAATGAAAAAAAAATTGCAGAAGCTGCTGTATGGAAAGTGTGTTTCCTCAGTAAATTTCATCCAAATTACAATAAACAAACAATCAAACAAACACCAAAAAGGGTGTTTTCTAGAAGGCTTTACTTTGCATGTATATATACTTTATGTGAAGAAAAATCTCAGCATATATAGCTGAGAATAGCTATATATGCTATATAGAATAGCATATGTAGTCTAGGAATATGGGGCCTTGATATTTGCTGAAAAGAGGAGAGAAACAAGAAACTAATGGGAGAGAAAAGGTTTAGGTTAGATAGAATATTATTTCTATATTTTTGAATAGCTTTCTCTGATTTATTCCACATTGAATAGCAAAATGGAGCATAGCTTTTCAACTCACTAATAATTTTGAATACTAATTTCTTTCCATGGTTCGAGGTGGAAGCCAATTATTTTTGGTAGGCATTAATGACATTTATAAGGTTTGAGATTCTACCTTCTAGTGTCCCTAATTTACACTTTAATGCCTAGAAACAACAAGGGTTTTATATCAGCCAAAACTATTTTTTTAATTCACATTTCAGCATAAAATGAAAGACCTTTGTGTTTTGTTTTTTTATGCAGACATTCAGATATTTTTTTAAGCTATGTATTTCAGAAAACTATAAATTGTATATGCATATATTGTTAAAAAACATTGAATCGGTTCCAACCCACAGCAACACTATGGACAGCAGAGCAGCACGCTGTACTGTCCTACATCATCCTCACAATCTTGGCTATTTTTGAGGCCATTGCTGAAGCCACTGTATCAATCCATCTCACTGAGAGCCTTCCTCTTTTTTCGGGACTCTCAGTTTACTAATCATGATGTTCTTCTTCAGGAACTGTTTCCTTCTGATGACATGTCAATTTATGTGAGGCAAAACCTCACCATCATCCTTTTAAGGAATATTCTAGCTGTAATTCTTCCAAGGCAGATTGGTTTGTTGTTCTGGTAAACCATGGAATATTTAATATTATTTGCCAACAATATGATCCAAAGGAATGAATTCATCTCCCTTCTTCCTTATTCATTGTCCAGTTTGTCACTGATATAAGGCAGTAGACCCTACCAAAGCTTGGATAAGACTAAGGCACTTTAGTCTTCAAAGTGACAACTTCTGTTTTTAACACTTTAAAGAGGTCTTTTTGATAAATTTTCCCAATGAAATACATGATTTGATACCTTGCATACTGGTTCCATGGACATTGATTATGGAGCTAAATAAAATGAAACACTTGAAAAATTCAATTTTTCTTCTGTTTATCATCCTGTTGCTTATAGATCCAGTTGTGAGGATTTTGTTTTCTTTATGGTGAGGTATAATTCATAGTGAAGGCTATCGTCTTAGGTTTTCATCAGTAAGTACTTGAAACCTTCTTTGTTTTCATCAAGAAAATTATGTCGTCTCCATGTAATAGATACTTAATGAGTCTTCTCCAATCCTGATCCTGTATTCTTTTTTATATAGTGCAGCTTCTTGGAATATTTACTTTGCCTACAGATTATATGATATGGTGAAAAGATCCAACCTGGATGTGCACTTTTCTTGATTTTAAAACATGCAGTCTCCACTGTTCTATTTGAGTGATTATCTTTTTGTGTATGTACAGCCTCTATAGGAGCATAATTAAGTGTTCTGGAATTCCCATTCTTTGCAATGTTATTCATAATTTATTATGATCCACATAGACAGATGTTTTTGTATAGTCATAAATACACAGGTAAATATATTCCTGGTATTCTTTGCTTTCAGCTAAGATCCTTCTGATATATTTCCCATTCCACATACTCTTCTGAATCCAGTTTGAATGTCTAGCAGTTTCCTGTCTAGGTACTGCTGCCATCAGTTGTGAATTGTCTTCTGTAAAATTTTACTTGCATATTATACTAATGATATTGTTTCATAATTTCAGAATTCTGTTGGATCACCTTTCTTTGGAAAGGGCACAAATGGATCTGTTCTAGTCAGTTGGCCAGATAGCACTTTTTCCAATTTTCAATGCATAGACAAGTGAGAGCTTCTGGCGTTGCATCCATTTGTTGAAGCATCTCAACTGATATTCAGTTAATTCTAGGAGTCTCTCTCTCTCTCTCTCTTTTTCTTTTTTTTAGACAATGCCTTCAGTACAATTTGGACTTCTTCCCTCAATATCATCAGTTCTTGATGATATGCTGCCTCTTGATATGGTTGAATGTCAATCAGTACTTTTTGGTACAGTGATTTTGTGTCTTCTTTCCATCTGAGGCTTGACATTTTTCCTTTACTTTGTCTGCTTGAGTCACACTTTGAAATCTTCTGTTCAGGTATTTTACTTCACGAGTTCTTCTGCCAGCTATTGTTACTATATGCTCGTGAGCAAGTTTCAGAGTCTCTCCTGACATCCATTTTGTCTTTATTTCTTTTCTGTATTTTTAACAACTTTTTCCTTTTTGAATTTATGGTATCTCTGATATCATCCCACAACTCATCTCTCTGCCATCACTGGTGTTGAATGTGGCAAACCTATTCTTGAGC